GTACAAACTAATACACTATCAGAGTTTTATATATTTATACTTCTCATTCAACCACAGTTAAATTCACTCTATCTAGGAGGCTCAGTTTATATGGATAGTTTTTATTTTTTACAACAACAAGCTGCAATGAAAACAAGCAGAAATGAAATAAAAGTAACGACTTTCTACTTCTTGACAATTTGAAGGAGTAGAAGTAAAAAGTAGGCTTAAAAATAATTACTCAAGTAAAGCACAGAAACACAAAAATTCTAGTTAAGTACAGTAACAAAGTATTTGTACTTAATTACTTTACAGCTCTGCTGCAGGCTGGTAACTGGTTCTGCTGATTTACTGGATGTCTCACTGTGATGAGGYTTACTTTCTTATTTACAAAGACTAATAAAACAGTTAAAGCTAATATATGATCATTTTTTTGTTGAAACGTTTTTAAAAACGAATCATCTCATTTTTATCTGAAGACTTTTAGGATGGAGAATATGGAGATGCAGGAAAATGTTTTTTAAAATGACACATTGAGTATTTACAGACAGTGGTTCCCAAAGCTGGGGTCTTAAATAACTATTTTTGTAGTCTTAGTTATTAGCTTTTAGCTAGCACTTAGCATTATGAATATGCTTTTGTCTATTGGACCTGATACCAATGTTTATCACWCAAAACTAGTTGGGGGCACAGGCCTCTGCTGCTCTTATTTTGTGTGTTAAAAGCTGAAAAGTTTGGGAACAATTAATTTAAGAAATAATCACAGCTTATTAGAAAAAAAGAGAAGAAAAACAGCCTTTATCGTCCCACAGAGGGGAAATTCAAGTGTAACAGCAGCAGGTACATCACTCCACTAAGGTTGGGCGATATTGGCCAAAAAATTAATCACGATTAATTGTCGTGTTTAGCCGATAACAATTAATATGACAATTAATCCCCCAGGATCTATGGACGCCCTCAAATCCTGGTCCCATGACCAGTTTAAATCACTGTAGTGGGACAGAAGTGCTCTCCRTACAAATCTGTTCCAGTTAAATTGTGTTAAAAAAAACAGAATTCAGACTAAACATAATTTTTAACTTGTGTTGATGAACCAAGCAAAACYGGAGTTATGATAAATAAATAACATAACTTTGTTTTTAATGTTCATCATATTTAAATAGGAGAGGAGCACCAAGCAGACTGACCACATTAATCGTATTAGTTGTCAAAAAATAGTTGTTTAAATTAATTCTGACAATTAATTGCACACATTTTGCCCAACCCTACAATCCACAAAACAATATATTGCTATGTGACAGTATTACAGATAGCAATAATAGTAGAATTAAGATAATAATAAAAATTTAAAAATAGAATAAAATGAAATTACTGTACAAGGCTTTAATGATGAAATTAGATAAAAAATAAGATATTGTGCAGAAAAAAATTACAACAAGAGTCATGACAGACTCGTGATCTGAGGGGGGGTGCAACTGAATCAAATTAAGTCATTCAGACAGTGTTCTAGTACAGTAAAAATATGTACAATTACCACAAAGTACTCCTGAGTACATACAAGGTATTTATGATGGTTCTTCTTACCCTTCTGCTTATTTTTACTGTCATGGGACATCAGTATCAGTGACGTTTACTTATTTACACCCAGACATTTAGTTTAATTTATAAACGAACTGTTTAGTTTTAGCCTTTAATTTGACAGCAGTGTTTTTAAATTTGCAGATGTTGTGTTAATTTCATTTAAATCAGACGTGTAAGTYGTTATTTTTAACAGAAAACAGGGTGGTTTCAAAATAACAGCAAATTCAGTTTGAGTTATTATAATAATTAAAACAATTAAAGCTTCTAAGAGGAAATGAGAGTAAAAAGTTCAGCATAAATATAGTAAATAAATAAGAATAAAATAAATATGTTAAAAGTCTAGTTTTCGGTCGGTGCGGGTCGATTTGTTTTGACAGTTGTTTGGGATCGCAGCAGCCAAATCAAACGGTTTGAGTTTGTTCACAGAAGAGCTGTTCAGTGTAAACAAACCTGCCAGCCTGTGCCAGCACGGCTCAGACTTTGCACACTGCTCGCTCGCGTTGTGCAATCTTTCACCAACAACAACAAAAAAAAAAAAAACACTTTCCTGCCGTGCACAGAGAATCAGACGACTTGTTTTGACTTGATGCGGTCTCCTAACTGGCCTTGTGCACACAGATCCTGCAGCTGCAGGTTTGTCACAACGTTCCTTTATTTGCTTTGTTTCTCTTGGAGCAGATCTCGTTCTGAAAGCTCTGCAGGAAAGTGAAAGCTGTTGTGATATTAACGAGATGATAAAGAGGGTTTAATCGGTTTTCATTATGGACCTCTCTGGTTAAAACCCTGCCCSGGTGTCGGAGGCCATGGTTGTTTATCAGAGCGGGGGGACGCGGCTCAGGTCGTCTGTATTCCTGGGATTCCTGTTGGGTGACGTAAAGCGAGCCGCAGCTTTCCCACCTCCCTTCCTCCCTCAAACCCCGCTCTSTCCCACAGTCCACACATTCTGCTGAAGTTCTTCCTCCCAGCCCGTCCTCCTCTTGTTTACGCTCTTTTGGATGTGGTGGGGGGGTTCCAGCAGAGGCTTTCAGCCAAACAAGCTTTGTTGTTGTCGTCGTCACAGTTCAGCAGCGGGGTCTGTTTGGAGTTTGGGCCTCATTGTTCCTCTAACAGAAATAATTGATTTTACACAGGAGGAGCACATCTAATAACACACTGTTGGACCTTAGCTTATCAGTTACACTGAGAAAATAAGAGTTGAGCAACAACTTTTCATCTCRCTTTAGGGAGGACCACCAGAGATGAGGGGGGGTCAGTGTAGTCCTAACTGGAATATTCCAGATTAGCTTGTAGCTCTGCAGCAGCAGCACAGGATGGAGCAGGGAGGAGCTGGACTTAGATCAGCCTCCCCTCACTGATGATGATGTGCTGCTGCAGCTGAGGATGGCTGTGTTGCAGTAAAACATCAGTGTTGTGGTAATAATGAGGTTTTTTGGCATTTGATATTGTGCTTATTTAATATTTTAAATTTTTGTAATTGAATTGTGTAAGTGCCACACGCAAGGGTCCCTCTGATCCTTAAAAAGTCTAAAATAAGGTCTTAATTAGCCTTAAAATGCCTTAAATCAGTCTAAGGCTGAAACGAACTCGAGTAATTCGATTACAAAAAATCCTCGAGTTAAATTTATCTGCCTCGAAGCTTCGTAAAAAATACATACTGTTATAATCAGCGCACTTTCGTCCGCCCAGAATGTTATTTGTGTTACACCCARTGCTACGATGTTAGCGCTTCCGCTATCAGTTAAGGCTCCCACACATTCGGGCGCACACGGTCCGAGGAGGTCCGCGCGGACTCSAGCACAAGTATATGGTTGGCCTCGGCTACAAGTACACCTCGCTGCAGCCAAAGTCAACGTCCGCCGGACTGGACCGCGCAGAGATAATTTTTTTAACGTCTGCGTGTGCATACTCTGTGTCGCACAACAAACAGCCCGGCGAGAAACAGGACCTCGGGCTGTCGACGCGTCACCTGTGTGTGATTGCTGAGCGCTATATTTAGCTTCAGAAGAAGATGAGTGCCGAAACGAAGCGCTCAGAAAACGACAAATTATAAAAAGCATGGGAACATTTAAAAATAAACAGAAAATATGATAACACACAATGCTCTGCACATCCTCGATGTTTCTGCACCGGAACAAAAMCAGCGGCTGCATGACCCGAACACGTCCGGGGTTAACCACAGGTATTTGTTTACGTTCACCTTGGTTACCCAAATCTGTGATAATCTGTCAGGTTACAGGTGTACAAGGAGGAGGTGTATTTAAACTAATATTATTTGTGCTGACTAATCATGGTGACCTGGCAGGCTTTTATTAAAGTGTGTAAGTTGTGTGATTAAAAACAAGACTTACTGTGAGTTTGTTTATAGAAGATAGTTGGATTTTTTTATTATTTGCTGCTGCTTTTTATGATTTTAGCCTTCATTATACTGTCATTTGTTTATAACTAAGCAGTAAATCTTTGATTGCCTAAATGGGAGCCCTGCACCAACCTAATAACAGTCTTAAAATAATTTTGTTACAATTAACAAGTGAACTCTACAAAACTCAATATTAACCATTTTACTTATTAAATTTCTAACAAAAAAAGAGACCAATTTTCCAGTCCGTAACAATAAATTTAAACATTTAGATATTTCAGTGATGTTAAAATGATTCAGTGACAGAGTGTTTTTAATTAATGCCTCCTCAAACCTCACACACATAAAWACAAACAAATGGAGTTTAAAATGCATTAATTAATACAACTGGTGTAATTTGACTTTGATTGCAGCAGGGTCATCAGGTGTATATTACCCCTTCACAATATTAAATACTTGTATTTCTGATAAAATAAGCTTAAATAATTACTGCAGAACATGACAATTTTTTTAAATATCCGATTACTTGATTAATCGTCAGAATAATCGATAGATTAATTGATAACTAAAATAATCGTTAGCTGCAGCCCTGAATCAGTTTTTCCGAGGTCCTAAAAGTGTTAAAACATTGTTGGATGATTGTAATTCGTCGCAAATAAGGATGCATCGATATGAAAATTTCAGCCTTGCTGATACGGCCGATAACCGATATTTACTGATATTACACAAACAGACAAATTATTTATATACATATACTCAAAAATACTGTTGTCTTTTTTTGCTATTGTAAATAAACGTAGCAGACCGCTGACATTTGTCTGTGCTTCAGTTATTCCTGGCTGCACAGTGTCATAATCAACCAGGTACGACTCCACCAACYGTCTGCCGTCCTAAAACAGAAATACAAAACTAAAAAGTGTGAAATCCATATCAGACGTTCATATCAGCCCAGTTTTACTGATCAGACTGATACCGATGTTAATGCTGATACATCGTGCATCCTTAGCCTCAACTGTTAAAATAATTCAGTAAAATTTATTTATTTTTTGAAATAATTTACTGAATGCTTCTCGCAGCTCGTTGTTTTGTGTTAAAACATTTAATTTCACCTGCCTGAAGCTGTAGGAACCCTGCATGTGTACTGAACAGTGTGTGTTTGCTCACTGATGTACAAAAATAACTGAAAGTAGTTGTTTTTTAATGCTTTGACACGTGGATGCATTTAGATCTGGTTGTTGTCAGTTGTTGGATGTTAAAYGTGTTTGATGTTATTCAAGGAGCTTCATACAAAGAAGACAGCATCTCCTGTCATCAGTCTGCTTCCAGGAAGTGTTTCAGTGTCCTGGAAGCAGCACAGCTAATTTAAGATGGGAGTGTTGGGGAAACTGTCCTCTCAGCAGCCCCACCTGGTAAAGACGAGGAGAAACGCTGTTTGAAGCTGGATCCTGACCAGGAGTTTATTAATGGGTGATCCAGACTTCATCCTGCTTTCTTCCCCCTTTAACCCTTTGAGACGAAGATGTCCTCAGGRTAGTTTATTTACAAGAAACATTTTTAGATTTAGTTGTTGGTGTTACTTTCACATTCCTGAACCCATTTTGTAAGTTTATATGGGATCAATCTTGTGCCAGCAGGAACTGAATCTGAATGTGCAGAATTAGAAATTGAACGCATTGGTTTGAAAATAAATTTCACTAAATTGAAACTGAATTTAAAGTTTTGAATTTGAATTAATTTGCTTTGAAACTGTGGCTGTGTCCAAAACGACAGGCCGGGTCCTCCAGAGGACCCAGACTCCCCGGTCGAGGTGAGCTGGGTCCTTGGTAGA